CTTGCCACCTCACGTAAGTCTCAGTTATTGATTTTTGAAATTCTTTGGATTTAATTAGTCTAATAAGTTTTACAGTAAAATATGAACACCTTATCGAAATTATCGCAGCTCCCTTAGCTTTGATTTCGTATTGTTTCAGAAAATTTTAACCAAAATCATGTTTTCTAAAAGCCTTCGAATATGATTATTTACTAATCTGTTCATTTCGTTCATTTTTGAGTAAATGGCCCATAATACCAGTTTGTGGAGTAAAAACAATTTCGGACAAAATAAGATGTTCCACATCTGCGAACTGTTCAGGTCAATATCATGTGACGTTTAATAGGAGCCGTAAAAAATTTTCACAATACACCCCCGCGACTTCTTTCCTAAAACAACTTTGTCACTTATGGCACTTGGTATTCATCAGACTTCCCCGTAACGACGAATTGAAACGCCTCCAAATTTTCTGATGCAGTACATGTGACTAGAGTTGATACAACCTGTTTTTCCTGTTAGATTTTTGGAATTTCAACTATCGATATCAATTAAAACTGTATCAAGCAAATATTCAAACAACAAACTCTGTCATTCTCTAGATGCATGTGTTTGCTATTAAAGAATCAATCCGAGCTCATTATCATCCATTGTAAGAATCTTTTCAATCAACAGTCCCATTTTACCCACTGTTGTAGCGACAACTCGACAGGATGATGAAGTGGTCAAAACTAACTAAGAATTTGAACCGGATCTGACTAACAGAGAGTAATTTATCAACGTATATCATTTAACCTTTTCGGCACTTCATTCGTTTTTGAATCTTCAGATTGAGGTATACTTTTTATGAAATAAAATGAATTTTAACTGCTATCAAAGAGACATTGTTATTAATTATTTTTTTAGTAGAGGCCAAGAAAGTTGCAGACTATAGCGAAGAACATCTTAGTTGAATTTTTGCAGGCCAACTTCAAAGATCAAGTTTGTGCAGTTCCTAACTTTAAGTAAGAATTGACTTTCAGTTTCGATTGTTTAAAGAATGGAATGATATAACTTAGTGAGAATTATATGAACTCGATTTCATTCTAGATTCAAGAAAAAGCTTAAATCAAAGAAAGTCGAAGTAACTGGAGCTAGTATATCTGTATGAAACATATATCCAGCCTTCTCCTCTTTTCTAATGAACGAGTCAGTTAGAGTAGTATGGAGCAATTGCAGACAGTTTTGCGATATTTTCTCTTGTGATAAGCATAACTTTATTATTTTTATTAATTTTCAGTTGTTTTTTGGCAGGTAGGTAGACCGAAATTTTCTCTACAAATCTGTCTAAAAATTTCTGAAAACTGGCTTCTAGGATTGCATCACTCGGTTTGTCTGCAATTACCCCATATGGGGTAATTGCAGTGCTAATCGCTAGTGCTCTATGGGGCAAATACTCTGTACGACTGTCTACTATTATCCATTTTAAAACGATATATTCTTCAGCATTGTTTTGATAATATCTGACAAAAAGATATAAAGATCCACGCAACTCACCAATGTGTCTAGTCAAGATCTAAACGCATAGATGTGCAGGTGGTTTGGACTAGCAGTAGTAGAAAGCTTCAGACAGTAGGCTTAAGCAATGAAAGAACTCATAAAAACAGGTTAAATTACATATTTCAAGTTGCTATCAACCATTTTCCGAATACATTCGAATAGGCAAGCGAGGAGTATTAATTACCATCTAGGATGGTAAGGACAGGTCAAAATCTGACAGTTTTAGGGTGACGTAATACTGAGTGAAGTTGTGTAAAAGCACATAAATCGTAAGCTATGAAACTATAATTTTATTCTAAAATCGACAAAACAAAAAAAACTCAATAAAGAAAGAAAGGCTAACACAATATCTCAATTAGATCAGTGTTATGGAATGTACATATTTACTGTTCTTAGTGGAGAGAAAAGAAATGCTTCAACCACTACCATTACTGAATTATTGTTTCATACATGTTACGTAATATCGTTTCTATTGAACAATAGCTGAGTACTTTTTGAAAAAATGTTTTTTGTACGTTAATAGATGAAATTGTCCGTAATGCAGAATAAACCGATTTCAATTGATTAAATCGCAATGGTTGTAGAGGATACGTACGGCGAACATATTCGTTCAATGCTAATAAATGTTCTTCATATACATTACGGCCAAACGTGGTGTACTCAACTAAATAAGAGAAGTCATTAGATCGCTCTATCAATTTTTTAGAACATATAGCACAAATAGAAACGATCAAAGTAAAGAATACGTATATTGTCTGTATGAGCACGTTATTAAATGGTGCAATAGTTTAATGGATTTTGCACCTTTGCTACACTTTTCTTACACTCTTTCTCACACGTTTCATGGATATGTAATGGCCGATACGTTGTATCATTCTTCATTTATCGATAACCACTATCGAAAAACTATACACTGTTCAAAATTATGCTTCTTACGTCTATATCTCTTATTGCTGACTGTATGGATATTATTATAGAGTTCTTTGAATTTTTAGTTTACTTATAATTCTTACTTGCACGTCCTAAAAGAAGTAGTTTTAAATGATAAAATTCGACGTAATCAACATGCAATTGGTTAATTTGATTGTGTAGTTCGTACATAAGAAACAATTGTTTCACACATTCACTGCTGGTAAAATCCGCTCTTGTATTTTCAACTAAAAATAACGGAACAAAACTTTTAAACTCTAATCCAATTAATTGTGTAAACGAAGTAAATATATTCGAAGCTGACCGTGCAATAAATCTTTACCTGTTTGTATAATACTTTTCCATGGTACATCAAATTTATATTCGGCCAGACACAATAGAAATATTTCATGCCAACAATGGAGTAAACTCGTAATCTAATGGGACGAATGAAATTCGTAAACGTCGACTATTTTTAAGCTTTTGCTCTTTATACCTGTTCTTTCATATTCATAATTTGAAATTGTTTAAGGGATGTAAACCAACGAACCATAAAAAATAAAATACGAGCTGCCATCTCATAAACAAATAAATCGGGTTTAAATGCTTCATATGGCATTACTGGCGGTGTCTGTATGTCCTTTAATGAAGAGTAAGAAACAGAGAGAGTAAACGATGTTCTTTTCTTTAAATCAATTATATATAAATGGAATTATCTATACCAATGGTGTTTGATGTTTTTGTTGACGATGAAGCCAATCATTCGTATCATTCGTATAGATATATCCGGGCAAATTACGGTTGTCAGATTGAGATCTTGGTCCTCGTTCATTTTGAACAGCTAAAATGAAGTTTAACGTTATTTACTATATAGTTAAAAAGAATTTTCCTTCTACCATCTTTGTTCATTCCAGCTTCAATACATCGACGATAACGACATGCACGACATTGATTTCGACGATATTTATCAACGATACATTTATTTTTATTTTTACAATGATACGCTCGATTTCGTCTTACCGAACGTTTAAAAAATCCAGCACATCTATAGAGTAAGATAGAAGTATGACAGTCTCCAATATATATTTCAGCTATTCTTAAGATGCTTCTCCATGAACTAAGGATAACAGGAGGTTAATATTGGTCAAAAGAAATAAAGTGTCAATCACTTGTCTTTTATAATAGCCCATAAGCAATGTTTAGATATTTATACTGTGTCATATTATCTACTTGAATGAAACAAATAATTCAGTATTTGTTTCGATAAGTGTATATTCATCTCTCTTCTCTCTCTATATATAAACATATTGAAATGAATTTCAAGAAAAAAGTGGCTCGCAGCTATTTGACAACATCAGACACTGTATATTTTAACTTAGACAACAATCTCTTCTGACGAACAATAATAGCAACACCTATTAAAAATAACAACTTTTGCTTACCCATCACATGCATGAACAGAATAATGTTTACCAGATGAATTATCATTGCACACTTTACATGCAACGTTATATAAAATTCGGCCTAAAGAAAATAATTCCTCAATAGATGATATTAAACTCGCTTCTAACTGTGTAATTTTTGCATAATTTAACAGATAAATTATTTGAGACTATTTAGAGAATAAAAAAATTAACATTTTCTAATTCGCTATTGTATAACGGTTTTTGACTGTTCCAAAAAATTGACTGATCAAGACGTTATTTTGAAGACAATACACCTTGTTACTACAACACTAATTGAACGAAGTTATGAAATTCACAGATGTTGTCACAATGAGATTTTTTATATTTTAACCACATTCTTAATCCGTAACTATTTGTATTCTTAAGTATAAATAATTTCTATTCTTGAAGCACTGTTACTTGATTTTCTAACTTTTAAGCATCTATTCCCTCTCTACCCGTTACTTTTCTTGAATTCTGCTCATTTGTATCATTCTGTATACAATTTTAGTAACACTTTGAGGTCTTAACAGTAAAATAAAATGACGATCGTTTGATGAACTTACTCTTCTTATACAGGGAGGAAAGCGTATGAAAACGATTTTTTTCTCAGTTCATATTCAGACTCGAACAGAAATGATGCTGAAGATTCTTGTAGAATAAGAAAAATAGTTCCAGGTGTCATCCTAATGTTCATAACCTCAATCGTGAGTTCTGCACCTGGCCTACTGTAGAATGATATTTTTACTAATGCAAGAACCAATTTAAATATGTTGTTATTTTTTATTTCTCAAAACATCGCAAGTATTGAAAGACAAAATTTTTTATTAAAGTTTACAAATTCTACTGGAAAGTTCGTCGGACCGCGATACTTGTTCTAATCTCGTCTTTTATTTTCTATTATCTCATTTACCTGTACTCATATTTCCCAATTTACGTATATCCAATCGTGTTTTTATCACGTACAAACGTTACTTTATTATAAATCAGAGAATATAAAATTGAAACGACGACTTCTATTCTTTCTTTATTTATGCTTAACAATTGGCTGTGATTGACTTCTGTATTCTATAGTAACATGAAGGAGAGAAAAAAAAACTCATTTTTTTCTTTTTTCAATCATGCAAAATTCAAGTGAAAAGTTGTTGTCAACGACCAATAAAAATTTTTTAACAATTTTTCTTTTTCAGGGATTCGCGATGCAGCCAAAAAGCTAAACATGATTTCAGACATTAAAATTTTACATTAAAAAATGTTTCATAAGAGCGAAAATAATAAATAAGTCGTTTCGACTTTTTGTACAGAATAAAGTTAACTTGATCAAGAGTTTGTCCACTACTCATATTACAAGGCACTTAGTGCCTGGCAATGAAATGTGTTACAGACAAAAACCGATCTTCTATTGGTAAATACAGTTCATACGTCAATGGGAAAATTTATGAAGATTTTATAGCATTTATCTCATTTTGATCTTTTTTCCTGATAAGAATGTCATTTATTTACGTGTAAATTACACGTTTATTCTAAAGGACTATGGGTACCGTTAGTTGAGAAAAAGTTCAAACAAAAACAGTTCTTTCGTTTGAAAACAGATTCTTGCGTCAGTGAAAATGTTTATTATATGTTGATAGCTGCAAAAATCAGTTGTTGTTAGTATAGCTATTTTATTTTCTCCATCAAAATGACGATGATCAGTCCACCAAATTGTTCATTCGACGATGATTATTTAAGAAAATAAACTTTTTGAAATAGATCAAAGATCTTGGACACTCAACTGAATTGCACATTAATCCGTTGAATGTTAAGTTTGATTGAGTTAATAAAGAATTAATATTGATAATATTCTTCTTTTTTTTCAGCAAAATGCATACGGTATCAAGATCGATTTTTGATCTTTTAAACTGATTGAACATGTGAGAAAACTATCTATATAAATGTATGCAATAAAATGATTAAAAGTTATTCTGATATTAATTTTCTTGCATTCATAATTTACGTACACTTAATGTGTGTAATTTTACAGTATTTCATTTGTCGAAGACTTTCACATACGCCAATATTCGTTTATCTATCATATCTCTTTTTTTCTCAAGGTAACTTTTGGTTGTATATTAGATCTTACAAAAATTATCTCAAATCTAACTAGAGTTTTAAGAAAATCGAATGTAATTTTTAATGTTTTCGCGCTTGATTATCACAACGGAATCATATCATAATTAGAACAGGAAGAATATGACTTGCTTCAAAACAGCAATATATGTGTAGTTTTATTTATGTTAATTGTTGAAAGAAAAAAAAAGCAATCCAGAGAGGGCAATAGAAACAAGCATCATAAGTGTCGAGTAGGTAATTGAATGCGTGTCTATTACAAGTTATCGTACGATTTCTTTTTGACGACTGACGTGCGACATTTGTCGTAGTAAAAACAAACACGATGTTTCAATAAGTAGAGAAGAAAGAAAAACAAAAAACCATAAAGTGAAAGCGGATGATGTTTGCTTTCAGAGTAAAATAGAATGTTGTTTATTTCAATCGGTTTCTGTTGACTTAGAAAAACAATAGACATTGAATAACTTACTGCCTTAAAATGGAACAATTATTTCTCTCGTTCATCGTTTCATCCACAAATTACAGACGATTGATTATTTTATCATCTTCTTGATGATAAACAGTATACTTTGTTTTTCAATAAGTCAACTCTTACAAGAACTAAAACACCAGAATAAAAATTCTATATTAATAAAGAAATATTATATATATTTAATATAAGAAATATATTGAACAGTCAAAAGTCATTTTACTACTATTTTTTTTCTACTTTTTTACTTTTTTACATCTCATTCTTTAAAATATAGTACTCAGTTCAGTCTGTCTGTTTCCTATAATCTAAGAATAGTTTATATAATTTACAGGCATAGTTCGTAAGAGATTTTGGAAAAGTTTTTAAAAAGAAATCGTTAAAAGTGCTGAATTATGTTAATTCAACAAGTTTATAAGAAACTGTTTTTATTTGATCATAACTAAGATATTTTCATAAAGAATGATTATATTTAACGTAGATACACTTTACAAACGTAGACTTTTTCCAGAGCTGATAAAGTTTCCACAGTAAAAATTCTTTTGAGTTGAAACTTAGAAAAAATATACAAAACAATTTTGTGCACGTGATGCATATAGTTAGATCTTGTCTGTGTATAGGTCTTGTAATGTGGAGCAGTGTAAAAATATGCAATAGTAAAAAATATGAAGTGAAATGGAGCTTTTTATAACCAAAATCATGTATCGTTACGAACCATTTTGTAGCAAGATTTGACTTCTTGAACTTTTGAATTTAAAGCTTGCCAACAGCAGTCACATAACAGCTTTGGACAAAATATCCCATGATCATTGTCTCGATACTTTGATCATAGATACAATGGATTAACTCGATTTCAGTGGACGCTGGACGGGAGAGATGAGTATTAAGTTTTAATAAAAAGTATTTCTCATGATTTTAGTTACAAGAAGTAATGTTAGGAACATCAAAAGGACGAGAACGAATTGTAAATTACAAAATGGACGATATACGAGCTAAACATAGTATCCGTGGTGGCAAAGAAATTTTGAATACCGATTGTAAGAGCATAAATTACACCAGAGACCGGACGCCCGGACCTGTGACCTGTGCAGGTAAAGGTGAAAATTTTCACAAGAGCCACCCAGTCAAAAAAAAGGTTAGAAGTAGGAGTATGAAGGTGTACTCCGTTTTCGGAGTACTCCTTTTGGGAAATGGGGCACTCCTTTTAAAAAAAGCCACTAAGAGCACTCTAGAATACTCTTTTTTGGACTAGTCCAGAATACTCCTCAAAAAAAGAGCGCTTCGGAACAATCCTTTTTATAAAGTGCAGCCAAAGCACTGCGGAGCACTTCAAAACAAGTGTAGTTTTTAGAGTACTCCTTTTGAGAACATCACTTCGAGTATTCCGAAGTAATTCTTAAAAAAGGGTTACCGAGATTACTCCTTTTTTGGAGCACTCTTTTTAAGAAAAACAGTACTCCGTTCTTTTTTTCCAAAAAGAGTGCTCCATCATACTCCTCCTCTTGATATTTTTTTTTGAGTGGGCGGGAAAGCCTATTTTTGATGGGGTACGCTCTAATCCGCGAAGACCATCAACTTTGCGGTCAAGAAAGAGCAACAAAATACTCCATTCATACACAGAAACGTTACATTCGGTTACTTCTGAAAAGTTCAGCTGAGTTCAACCTGATGGACAACTGTATGTAAAGCAATCAACTAGTCTGACTGGTGGCTAATAGCTCGTTTATCTAGTTATCTGCCAAATTAAAAATTCAGTTAGGTGAGGTCAAGTCAAGTTCAGATCATAGGTTCACTTTTCAGGTGCGGTCTCAAGTCCGAGTCGGAGAAGTTCAAGTCCGCTGGACTTTGCCGCTGACCTGACCTGGACCTTACTGTCTCTGAATTACACTATGAGTATAATGAATCTTCCGATATGATATGAAAATCTATCTTCATGCTAATAATATTTGAGTGTAAAATTATTTGGGCATCGTAACATAACTCATTTTTATAAAGGGCAGTCCCCCCTCCTTTTCACTTTGTTGCCGAATGCGAAGTACACGGCCGATTGAGGTCAAATTTATAGCCGAGATAGAACATCGAAAAAGAAAATCGATATATTTTTGCCCAGAGTTTTCTGAGATGTTCTTATATGGATTTTCTGGAAAACTCCGGTTTTCATCGAGTCACATTACAACCCCCCCGAAAAAATGGTCCGATTTCACCACAGATACTGTAGACCCTATCTCCGGTTCGTTTTTCTTCTTTTCGAGGAATATGCTTTTCTTTTCGAGATATACGAAAAATGCTATCTCGATAAATGATGAATCTGAGATAGGGCCTACAGTATCTGTGGTGAAATTTCGAGCTCGATCGGACCATTTTTTCGGGGGGTTGTAATGTGACCCGATGAAAACTGGAGTTTTCCAGAAAACCCATATAAGAACATCTCAGAAAATTCTGGGCAAAAATACATCGAATTTCTTTTTCGATGTTTTATCTCGGCTATAAATTTGAGCTCAATCGACCGTGTACTCGGCATTCGGGAACAAGGTGAAAAAAGAGCGGGGGTACTCTTACGAAACGCTATCAGCGTTAACTTTACTCACAAAATAATTAACATAGCTTAATTGATAATTTCATACACGATGGGATAAATGGCATTATCGGACTTTTGACATTAAAATACAAGCCCAATGGTTTTCTGAACTTCAAGTTTCAGTGGCGATTGCTTTATTTTTGTTGTTTTGCTGGAGTGAAAAAAAGTTCGAAACATCGCGACATCTGCCCTTAATGAGCTCATTGTGCTTTATACGTTTCTTTTCACTCTCCTCTATCAAAAGGAATCCCAAGCATTCATGTCATAGGAAAAGGAAAGAGCTGTCCCGATCAACACTCTACTTCACAATGTAATTTCTCAGCAGTTTTCATCATAGTAACTATTCTATTTATCAAATATTGACTATCTTTTAAATTTATTATTTATTATAGAACTATTGTAGTAAAACTTGAATCAAGATCGTGGTAAGAAAGCATAAAGAGCTGGAGAAATTCTAAGAAGTCAAGATCAAAATTTGCTGCCTTCTTGTAGCAAAATCTTGATTCAGATCATGGCTGATTGAATCCTGTACCCAAGTTTTTGGAAATTCTTGAATCACCGCTTTGTTTTACATGCGTGCGTGTATGTGCTATATTTTCGTTGTTACAATAACTTAGAATAATTAACTAAAAAACTTGGTTTTTGTTATCGTTCCATTACGACCCTTCGATAACTTGATCAGATCGACCTCAAAACTTTACCATAAATACTAGACAGCATTGCCCAGGTGTAGATCGTTTTTTACGTTCTGTCATATTTTCTTTCCCAGTTATAGCAAAAATACTTGAAAAACATCTTAAAATCCAGGTTTTTCAATCGTCTTCACTCCAGAGTTCGAAACAGGCCGACACTTTTGAGGCCTGGTCTGCCTGCGTCAGGCCTGTAATGTTTAGATCTGCCTGGGCCTGTCGATATATTTCCTGGACCTTGCCTGTCTGTCTGCTATTGTTCTCGGCCTACCCTGGCCTGTAGAAGCCTGGTCATTTTTTAATAAACAAATAATAGTAACATAAGATGAAAAGAAAAGTGACGGATAATTAAACAATATATCTGAGTAAAAAATTTGGTTTTTGTTCAAGTATTTTCTGAACTGATCTAACTAACAAGATATTCTCAACTGTGTCAGGATTTAGTGATGCACGGCGTTCGTTAATAACCAGGCTAGGCTGCCTGGTGTTTTCAAAGGTCTGCCTGAATCTATTTGAGTTTAGACCTGGTCTGCCTTAGCCTGGTGCAGGCCGAAAATTTGTAGCCTAGGCTGTCTGTAACAGACAGGCCCAGGCAGACTGCCTGGCCTGGTTCGAGCCCTGCTTCACTTAGACTATGTATAAGAAAAAATTTTGAATGTACAGGAAAAGGGAGAAAAGTTTATGAAACTACAAAATTGAGTTTTTTATGCTTTGAAAGAAAAACTTAAAAAATTCATAACATTTTTAAGAAAGGGCATGGAATATTAGGAGTGGGCTTATTTTGTAGCCGAGACTTTCCTCTACATTAGCATATGTTGGTTTAAACTATATTTATTATAAGATAAACTTCTTGACACTCCCTGCTAAATCGGCTCGCCATTGTATAGCAAGAAGTGCATATGTTCAGCATATGTTCAGCTCAAGATCCAAAATTTTTCAGAATCGAGAAGGGGACACCCATAAGCATAGTTATTTAAGGAAGAGCCTGTGATTATGTGTGGACATATATCTGATGACTATAACTGTCATACATGGAAACAAAATGTCGAGAGAATTTACTTCCAAAATCTTGACTTCTTGGTGTTTTTTTCTAAGTTCTTGTGATATTTCTTAATCTAAGATTTTGGGTACAAGAAGTTTCACGAGAGGATTCTAACACAAGTTTCTGTTAAATATAAACTAAAAATTGAATTTCCATAAGGTAGGAAAGAGACGTAGTAAGATAGACAAACACGTGAAGAGAAAATATATACCTGCATCTATCAATTATTTTTCTTCCGTAGCCATATAGAAATTCAATATCAAGGTTAATCTAAAAGTTCTGTTTCACAGTTCATCTATTTATGAGTTATAGAAATTTATTATGACTATTGAATTTTACGTTATCCTTCAGTAAAAACTACTCTCTGTAAGGTATTACTGATATTATAGCATTTCTAGATGTAACCAGTTTTATGGTAACGGTGAATGAATACACTGACATAGGAATAAAAGGTCGGACAGAATTCAACAGTTTTAAGTATTGAATTGAACTGTTCTTTTGTCATGGAAACAAGCTGTAAGGAGTTAGTAAAAATTAGATTTTCTTGTTGTTAACCGTTTCTGCTATCATGAACTACTATTCGTTTTGAATTTGGTTGTCGGACTGATGCGACATTTAGCGATAATCTATTATCGCCTATAAGTCTTTATTCAATATTATTCTTTTTACAATAAAAAAACTATATCTTTTAGACAACAATCGAAAGAAAGATACACACACACACACACGACATTATACAAAAACAGAATTAAAGCAAAAGCTACGATATTATTTCAGCATTTTTAAAAAATCAGCAATTTCAAGGTTATTAAGTATACAACAACATGGAAGAAACAAAGTCCGTCAATGAAATGAAGTGAGACTAAAAAACGATATTACTAATAGAACAGGAAAATATTCTATTAGAGATGCATATGTTTTTGATTTTGTGTTGTTGTCGTAATATTTGAGGTATTATAAGAATCAATTGGATCGATAAAATTCATTGAATGTTCCTTGTATACTGGAGAAAAACTTGTTGGAGGAGGTGGTGGATTATAATAGAAATTCATTGGTTGTAGATTATCATAACCATAACCAGTTCCATTGCAATTAGCTAATGGTTTATTATAGTAAATATTTGTGTTTATATAAGTTGACGATGGTGATGATTTAGATACGTCGTATCCATTCATTCCACCTGTCACATCGAACATCGAATTAGTGCCATTATTCGTACAGTCAATATGATTAATTGTTTTGTGATACGAAAGTTGATGTGGATGATGTGGCATCGAAAAATATTGTTGAGGATGAAAAGAAAATTTTAAATCACGTCCTATGGATGATGGTGAATTTAATACCATATCTTTATCGCACATATCTTTATCACTCGTTGTTGCTAATGGAGAATCACTACACGACATTCGTCCTTTTCCATCTTTTTTAAATTTCATACGGCGATTTTGAAACCATATTTTTATTTGTCTTTCCGTTAAATTTAACAATTGGGCTAATTCAATACGTCGTGGACGATTTAAATATCGAGCATATAAAAATTCTTTTTCTAATTCGACCAATTGAGCACTTGTATACGCTGTTCGAGCACGCTTTGCGGCACTAGATGATAATTCTTTATCTAAATACCAAATAAAAACTAGTTTAAAAAAAAATTTGTTTTTGTTATGTGGAAGAAAAATTTGTCCATTTTCTTTCTTCATTTTACTACAGGATGTCTATTATACCAACTAGTTAACGCTTTTTTATTATATCTGTCAAGAATATATTGTTTTCTTTCTTTTAATTTACGAACTTAATCATTTGGGTACCAGTTTTATCTCCTAAGTCTAGACCTGAGTTTTTAATGACACCGTCGTAAAATCGCGAATATATCAGAAAGTTGAAGAGTTTAATGCAATTTGACTAAATAGATATTTGGAATACATGTGTCTCTTCTTGATGAGATAGATACTTTTGCCCAAAAAAATGTTAGTGTCAAATAATTATGTTATAGAAAAACTTTTCATCATAATTATTGTCAGATATTCTGTTTTTCTTCAGAATAATCATATTCTCACATATTATAAGGAGAGATGAATACGTAAGAAGCAATCTCTGCGTTTGAATGACATATTCTTTTTACAAAGTAACATTCGTTCATTGATTACAAATCCAAGAAAAATATTGATAAGAATATAAGTCTTTTTTTCTATGAATAATTTAAAACTTGATATGTTTTGGTAATAACATTAACAACGTAGAAAAAAAAGGGATACTGAATATGTGATGGGATTGGTTTTTGTCGATTACACGTGTTCTTTTTTTTTTTTTCTATATGCATAAAAAACATAGGTGGTATAGAATAGATATGTGTTATCTGTCTCTTGATGTGTATTCAACACAAATGATAAATGATCACGATCATTTATCATTTTTTTTCGATTGTCAGAAGACAAAAGATGATAATACACAAATGTAAGAATTTGGTTATATTTTCCGTGTGGTGATGAAAATGATATCTCAGACGTCTGAACTTAATTGGATGTCAAATTCTTTGTTGAGAAATATACTTTGAAGTGCAGGACACATGCTTTTCAGCAATTTTCATATATTACTCAATATATGTATATATCTCAACGATGAAAACTAAAATGAACGAGAAAAAAAATGTAGAGAAAGTGAAAAGGTGACATTGATGTTGTAAGAAAAAATAGTGGAGACGCAACTCAAGAAATAATAATAACGAATAGTGGCGGATGATCTAGCATACAGGACGGTCTTCGTATGTTCAAGTTTCCTCCTCTCTCTTAGACTCGCTTGAATTCGTTTCTTTCCCAAAAGATTCGCTAATGAAAATTGAATCATTTTTTATCATAATTTCATGCAACAAAGTGAAATGGAAATGAATATATTGTCGATTCGTTTAAAACGTGTTCTCTGACACAAAAGATAATAAAATTTTTATTAAAATTCACAAAAAAACAAAAACCTAACTTTTTTACCTTAGGATAGTAAAAGAAATGGAGCTATTGAACTTTTTCTGTTCGAATGTGATAGAAAAATTATTGTTTTAAAATAAAACAGACCCGATCTCAAAATATTTGATTTTTGACCGAGTTATAAAAAAATTTCTAATTACTCGAAAAATGTAGTTTGAAAACGATGATCTGTGACAAAATTGATAAAAGAAAAAGAATCTGCGCCAACTGCTCGTGGCTATGAAGCGTTTTAAATATAATCAGCTAATAGAGCTTTTCAAGAGCTACAAAACGTCTATCTTCTCTTTTTTATATCCCAAAATATAAAGAGCTAAAATTGAGAGAACTATGTTTGGGGTTAGAAAATTGTCGTAATTTCCTTTTTTTATTTTCATAGTATATAGAAAAATGTACAATATGTTTTTTATGAAGAATAAATGTGCAAAAGAAATGAATTCAAGTGAGTGTACGAGAATGGAGAAAACTTGAACATACGAAGGCTCTCATATATTCTGAGCCACCCGTCATTTAAAAAGTAGAGAGTGGATTTATTAATTCTAATATCGTTTAATCAAAATAATTGTTCTGAATAGCAGAATAGAGAGTATTTAAATATTCAAAACTGACATTAAATCCGTTCCGAGAGTATAATTAAATCCACGTTGGGTTTTTCTCAAAGTGAACCGTAAAGAAGAAGCAAAGATCAACAAAATCAAATGACAGAGAATAGTGACTTAAAAGTCAATAGATTGACTAGGATAAATAAAAAACATATAAGACAAAGATAGAGCTCATAACAGTACGCCGCGACTTTTATGCACTAATACAATATTTAACTTTCTACTCTAACAAAATTCAATATCAATGAACTGTACCTCTGAGATGATTAAATAAGTGTCTCACCTATAAATAATTTAATCAAATATACCAGTTTTATTTATAAACATGGTTAAATTAACATGCAATGATGTCGTAAATAAAAAATAGATCGATTTTACTTAAATCTATAGAGACGTTGAACATTTGGTATTATCAAATTTATTATGAATAAATTTCAGAGAAATTTAAATCAAACTTAACACTATCCATTCTTTTTGCCTATACAAATCTGTCGCCAACCACTATCAAAACAAAAACAAAGAAAATAGAACACACGTTTTTATTCATGTGTGACTGAAATTACATTTTAGACTTTGAGAAATTCATTTTAGCATGAACAAAATGTTCTCATCCCTTACAGTATAAATAAATTTTGTGAGTAATATTTTCACAACAACATTATTTGTTTTACTCGCCTTCCAATAAAGCCAGTCTAATCAAAATACTTACATATAAATAAGTATGATTAATAGTAATAATCAGAAGACTAATTTATTATGAAAATAATTATTAATATAGAAATATTTTTCTTGTTTAACTGAAATTAATATGTTTTTTCTCTATGAATGATATTAACTGTATTTCTTCGCAGTTGTATAACAGACATATAGCTTACATCTGGCAAAAAAATTTTGAGTAAGATGACTATCAGTTTTTCTCTAACAATTTCATGAAACAATATTCGATATTTAAAAGGCTTTTCAACTATTCGAGGACGTATACTCTAAAAAACAATTCCAAATTTCATATATTTTAGCTGACTTTGATGTAAATCATACACTTGTGAGACTTTTTTAATTTTTAAGACAAAATCAGTAGTATCAGAAAATCAGATATATAGCGTGAAATCACGTAATTTTTTTTTATAAACTTACCAGATGGAGACATTGATGAATTATTGCTGGTGCTGTTCCTGTTGTTATTGTTGTTATTTCGATTGCTGTTTTTCTTGCTTGTATTATGTTTTTTATCACTCATCCACGGATATATCTCTTTTTTTGGTAATACACCACCAGCCGTAGATGATATGGATGATAATGACGATGCAGAAGAGGATGTTGTCGTGTTGGTATTCGATGAGATTGACTTTCTTGACGAAGATGATGAAACGTTACCATTTGTTCGTATTTTATTTGGAGAAATATTCGTCATTGAATGTGATGGTAGCGATGGTTGTGGTAGTGGTTGATACTTTGATTCATTTGTTGAATATGGGTTACAGTTGAGACGATTATTATTAATAATTAGATTAACATTTGCATATGATTTTGTTGAATTTAAATAATGATGGTTAGTTTGAGGATCCCAATCACTATCACCTGCATCATTCATTTGACTACACTCTGTCTTAACCATTGCTAAATACTTATCCGTAACTTATTGTTCACCTAATAAAAAAGTAGTTTGTATTCTCTCATCAATTCAAATAAATTTTTAATAGAATTTGATTTAGACAGAATCAATTTACAATTAATTATAAAATAGCGGTTATATGGTCGTTACGTAAACGACGTGAATTAAGAGAAATGGATTACACTTATTACTTTTTGTCAAACTAATGCTGGTACAATAACAAGATCTACTTGACACGGATGTTCTCCCACTTTTTCGTTTTCTCTTTTTCCTTTTCTTTCTTTTTTTTCGTGTCAGTATACTTATATTTTTTCTTTCGTCTATTATTTATAACGTATAAACATCGTTTTTGTTTTTCTAATAACTATTCGCTAGGAAAAGAAAAACGCATACTCGTTCTATTGGTGGATGAAAATACAATAGACTAATCAAAATTAACATATGAAAAGATGAAAATATAAGTGGATTTGATATCTCACAAATGAATCAGTCAGTAAAAGGTGATAAAGAATTTAAAAGTACAAAATATCCTGTTCGGCTGACTTTCATAGCGTTCTTCAGTTTAATAACAAACAATTGTCTTATACTCTTCGGCTATAATAAAGTTTCTTTTTGATAAAGCTGATTTGTTCTCTTGTAACGTAAGAAATTGACCTTTGTCACATACATATACAACCATACTTCGACAAAAGTTTGCATTTCTCTCTTTTAATAGTGCGAGGTACTTTTATTTACAATGAGAGAGAACGTAGATTAAACTGCAATTGCATTGCGAACAAGTAAAATTGAAAGAAAGATGTAAAGAATTTGGTCGATATACTTTATTAATAGAAAAGAAGGATTAGCCCGGGAACGACAATAATGTCAAACATACAAACATTAACTATATCTCATTCACCAGTCATTCGTTAAGTATTTCACAATAAAGATTCAATAAATTGTCAATCAGGCAAGTTATTCTAACTGTTCGAGTAGTTATGTTGATATGACGTAGCTCCGAAGGAAACGTAGATTTTGTAAACATGACACATCATAACAAACCCATCGTGTGCCATCAGTTGAAACTGTGAGTGCTAACGCTACACCGGACATGGTTGATAGAATCAGAATGTCTACTAGAATCGCTGATAATACCGTTGCAGAAGCTAAATCACTTAAACATTTTTATAATAGAGAATTAATGATGAACAAGAACCTTAAAGCAGTGAGTATATGCAATACTGGTGTATATTTCTCGAGATTAGGATGAGCTTCATATTTTAGTTCTGCATGACGTACTCCTGTTTGTGATAGCGTACATTCGTATAGAAAGACACGTTCATCAAATGAAACGACAAATGTGTGAAAGACTTAATGAAAGAAAATTATAATATCTCAACTTCACAGAGAGACAAGAGAAGTGAGATAGAAAAAAAAAATGTGTCATTCAAAGTAAAACGAGATTCTCCAAGAGATAGGTTAGGTCAATTTCAATCAATTCAATATTATTTTTAAGTCAAAGTGATTGTCAACGTTGTTTTTACACAGATTGTAAACATTTCCCATCCTTACGTTACTGAGACAACGTGAACCAATCACCTTAGAGGTGAATATTAATTATACATAAATTTTGGCTTTTGAATTTATCTCAATGAATTCGTTAGAATTTTCTTTTCATTAATGAAGTTTATAGAAGGAGCAAACTTTTCGTTCCATCAATGTTCTCTTGTTTAAAATCAATTTAACATCTGACAAACCACAAATCTTCGTTTCGTATTTCAGAGGACCATTCTTGTTGTAGGTATATGAATAATGAAAAGACGCTATAAGGCAATAAAATTGATGATACATTAATTATTTGTATCTGAAAATAGTATTTTGATAATCATAGTAATATTCAAATTAGTTCAGCTTAAATACTTCCTTCTGTCAACACGTGTAAAAGTTGGATGAAAAACCCGCTAAGTCTGAAATCTTATTACATTACGAAAAGTGTTTATACCGTGCTCATTCTCTACACGATATAGCTTGTTTGATAGGAAAAAATAGTCTGCACAAGTGATGATTTACGACCATCAATTGATTGTGTGTGTTAAAATACGTTGAACGTTGATTTATGATCAAAAAAAAAAGAATGCCTTTCTACTGCATGCATCGTTATAATAACTCCCGTTGAAAAATATAATTATTTCGATATAGACCAACCACACGATCAAAATTCACATTTATTATTTTTGACGTATTTGATACTTTTAATCTCCACCCTATCCTTTTGCTTTCACCAATACGTTTGTATAACGCCTACAACTTACCTTTATTTATTAGAGAAAATAAGCCGTCTTTTACTCACAATGTTAATTTCTCTTTTCACTAGAAAAAGTGACTATAGGTAGCGTGAGCAAAGTATAAACACATTTATTGCCAATTCATTTTTTCTGCTTTGATACAGAGAATTGTTTTTTTTTCTTAGTCAGATCTCGAGTAGTTATGTTAACAACTGCTTATTCAATTAAAAGGATAAAGTATTAGATTATTTTGATTTAGATTTGACGAAACATTTCGTCTGTGTAATTGTAAAACTATTTTGATATTCACAGTGGATAAAATGTTCCACATTGTATAAAACTTAAATTGATTTCACTTCTGCATTTCATTGACACTTACAAATTTATTATAATTCATTGATTGGTTGGAAAGAAATTTTATTTTCAAAAACATTGTCTGATACAATAGAACATCGACTGAAAATTATAAAAAATTAACTAACAAACATCTCTTTTCTTTCTTTTTCTTACTTGATGTTTTTAAAGTTATTAATTTCCGTGGTTTCGCAGCTGTAAGAAAAACTATTTTTCATTGCATAGTGTATTAAAATTTAAAAAAACAAGATTACATTTTCACAAACTCAGTGTCAATAAGTTGAAGTTCTGATGCTTGTATCTATAATACAAACTTGCCAAATCTCTATTGACGAATGTGTGATGTTTAAACTTTCTAATAAGAGAATAAAATCAAATTAGAATAATTTTAGTAAACTGAATGTGTTTGTTGCCACTTTAAATATGTTCTTAATGTAATACATGTTGCGCGTCTCTGTCTTGTCTTAATAAACCGTGTTACAGCGTTTATTGTAATGCAAATGATGATGGAATGGAATCACGTTCGTCTTTATTAGAAGACGTAATGACGTATGTATATATATATATGAGTGTGTGCAGAGGTACGATAATAGCAGGAAGAAAATACAAAATAATTCAAGTCGAACGTCTATTCTTGGCGTTTGATGATTTCTAATAAGAAAAAGAAGAATCTTATTGGATTGGATACACACGCACAGCATGCATCTGCAATGTAAAAGAATTCATCCATAGAAGTGATGAGTTTTTGATAGCCAAAAGACAATGGCATTTGTCTGCTTCTCATTTGTCAAAAAATCAAGAATATAATATACATATACAACCAGAATGAAAAAAAAAGAAAGATGACTGATGGCGCAGAACTTTCAGATAACATCTTTCGAGCTACTTTTTCTTTTATTTATTTATCCAGATGTATATATAATTCGTACAAATCAAAAAGAAAAGATATTTTTCTATAATTTTTCGGAAATATAGTTCGTTGTCTTCTCCTTTCTTCATTATCCTAGATATTTCTTATGTTTCCAATAATACTCTTCAAGGTTATCCTCTTCTCTCATCCAGTGCTTGTGCAAAACGTTGAAAATGTAAATCGAAAGTAAAAAAAAAGTATAGTAAGAATACTGAAAATCCTCTAAGAACACAAGTTTCTTATTTTGAAACGTTACCAGTCGGAAAGAAAAAGTGATCTTTATTTCAGTCCAATAAGTGTCGAATGAAGTGTTCCAACATTTTTGCAAAAGGCATGTGGGAGTAATGAAGACGTATTTAATAGGACTTTTTCGTATAAAATTTATAATTTCTTTGGGAAAAAGTTAGAAAAATCGTGCAGATGTCATATTTTGGAGAAAACAGTTTGCTCTACAAGCTTTTCTGTGTTTTTTAGTCTATATTAAAAGTATCATGTCTTTTTTAAAGAAAGGTCGTGAAGAGCTGGAAATGGTCATAAATCGTAGATTTCGGTGAACTAGTGCGACGTCTCAAGAGAACTTGACCAAAAATGAGATTACGTTTGATTTTGTACAAGTTCTTTATTTTTCAAAAGCAATTCATTGTATGGCTTCTAGATAATTCAAGCGAATATGCTAATTCGCAATCTTCTTTGATGCTAAAGATCAAGTTTCAAAATGCGATTATAAAGTTTTCCAGTATTTGTACCATTTAAATAACAGAAGAACGTGCTAATAAATTCAATTAGCTTTGACATCCGCCATTGCTACTCGTTGAGTCATGAGCTCATAAGGAACACATTCCATAGATTCTTTCGAAAAGCTGTTTATAACAATATTTCTCTTTACTTTTAGATTGATGCTACTGAAATGAGGTTTACAAAAGTAGAATTTTGATTTTTGATGACAAATTAGCACATTACCCATGATTTTAACAGTACTAAAAGTTGTACTCTCTACGTAGGAAAACGATCATTGCAGAACTCTGTTGAAAAAGTTTGATAGTTCTGAACGTGCACACAAGTACAACCTCGGGGTTTGGAAACTGTTATTGTTCAATGGGAATTGATTTTAACGAATAATTTATATATTATGAAATGTTAAGAAAGAAAATAGAGTTCGGGTGATATTGATTTCATACCTACACGATATAAAATGTTCAAATTTGGTTCGTACTCAACGTCGTTTTATTGTCGGCACCTTTGGTCAATGAAGCGTATATACAATTGAAGAAAAAAAACAAAGTAAATTTAGCAATAAACATTGAAGAGTAGAGTAGAATAGCTGAAGGAAAAGGAAAAGGAGGAGTTAAATAAAAAAGATCAAAATACCATAAGTTCTGAAGAAAAGAAGACGAAACGAAACACTGTTGGACATGTACACAGAACATATACATACACACAGCACTTGACTTAATTCTTTCTTTATTTTTCAATAC